CCCCAAAACCCCAAAACCCCAAAACCCCAGCTGGCTAGCAAGCAATTGAAAAGGCAAAATTTGGTTTGTATTAATATTAAAAAATAAATGGAAGAATACGAACAATATTGTGACGAAGAATGTAAGAAAAGAGCAAAATACTATGATGAAATTGAGGAAATTTACTACTGAGAGCTTCATTTCATGAAAAATGAACAGCCAGAGAGTGCAATTAGACTCATAACACCAAGTGAAGTTGAAGATGATGTTAATCTCCTAGAAAAAGGGCTTAAGACCTTTTTAATTTTTGTTAAAGAGAATTATAAGACAAAATCTCAACCAAGAATGAAGAAAATCTATAAAAAGTTGTCCAAAGACCTCGATAAACTCAGCAAACAAATAAGTAAGGCTGAAGATAAACATCAAAATTACTTGTTCACTAAGTATAAATAAACAGGCAAAACTTATAAAGGAAGCCATTGAAGATGAAATTGACTTTAATGAGTTCACAAATAACTTTTTCTGGAGTCTTCTGAAGGAAGAAGCTAGGACTCCAACTTCCTCAGAATTTATATACGACGTTTACACAAAATTAGATGAAGTTGATCTTCATCAAGAAGAGTTTATCAGGAAAAATGCTCTGATCAAGAAATTAAAGAAGAAAATAAAAGAACTGAAAGAAGGTAAGCCTCCATAAAGTTATGCAAGAAGACTGAATTATCACCATATTTTGCTGCATTTAAAAGTTATTACTCTTTGTACTCTCCCTTTGGCCTTTTTAATTAGAAAAACATTCTTTTCGGTAGTAAGATGTTATTCGTATATAACCCATGATTACTATAAGTTTTCCAAAATATCCAAGCTTCTTAAAAAATTGAGTATACTACTTAAAATCTTTGCTGAAATCTTTGTTACTATGTCCACCCTCATTATTCCACTAATATTTTGGATTAATTCCATTCTATCACCATGAATCCAATGCATATTTCGGTATCGCTTGACTATCACCAACACAAGCTTGCTATATCTAAGATCTTTCCATAAAATTTGTACACTACAAATTTCAGAAATTTCTGTAAATTAGATAATTTCAACAATTTATTTCAAAAATGCTTTGCTGCGAGCTCCATCTATCAATACAGAGAATTTCCGAAATATTCTCAAATTTTATTGAACCAAAGCGAGCACATCTTATACTTCCTTCACAAACGTCATTAATCCCAAAAATGCGCAGGTAGAAACCAAGATGAGTTAGCCTTTCTAATATCTTAACAAATAACCTAAACCCTGATCTCTATCATAAAACTAAGCTTTCAGCGCACCGCTTTTCTATTATTTCTGTGATGTTCTCTCACAAGTTGGAAATTATGCTTAAAACTAGAAAACGCTGTAAAATATATGTTCGTATTATCAGAGTCTGTAGCCTTTTGATAAGTACAGAGAGTGTTAAGAGTGCTAACTTTTTAATGTTATCCCTTCTAGAAATTTGAAGACTCCACTCATCCGCCACTGAAACCGACTCAGAAACCGATTCCTCAGTAAGCCCATCTCTAAAAATCCAGGCATCTTCTGAACCCTCTGAGCCTACTCTCCAAGAAGAGATGTCCATAGATCAAGAGTGTAAGCTCCTTCTCAAATCTAGGCCGTAAATTTGTGGTGAAGATGAAGAAAAAGGAAAGAGCCACATTTAGATTAAATGAAGAAATGCATAAGAAAGTGTTCGGCCTGGTTGACCAGGAATTTTTAGAAAATTTTGAGAAGATAAGTGTGTGCCGTTGTAAAGAGATTAGTCCAGGTAAGAGGGAATATTCCAACTATCAAAACTTCATTTATAGACGAATTCTTTACCTTCGCTTCCAAAATATCTCACGGACTCAAAGACTTCAACTTCAGCTTAGGAGACCACACCTCCTCAGTCAAGATAACTGCTTATCTTCCTTCCATCTTGCTGCTCAAGTCCAAAATTAAAGAGAAAATAAGCTTCTACGACTGCATAATGACTTTTAAGGAGAAAGCCCAGATAGAAAAGACCTTCGCAGGCATCGAAGTTGAATATAGTAAGCCTCGTTTAGTAATGATTAGGGAGTAAGAGCTCGATTTTAGGTTTAGACTATGTTCAAGTCGTTGAGGATTAGAAAGGATTAAAGGCAAGTTATGTGGGGATTTTAGAAAAGAGATTAGTTCAATGTTGGTTTTAGAGTGTGGGGTTTTGGGGTTTTGGGGTTTTGGGG